AGGAGTCTCTGTCTAAAAACAGTGGCAGCTTGTCTCCATGTGACGGCATCAGGAATCTTCCTCAGAACTTGCTTTGTGCTGCCCACCCAGCGAACTCAAAGGCATCTTCATCAGGACTCTACGAGAAGGGATGAACTCTGCCTCACTCGGCCTGGTGCTAGGAGGAGGGCAGGTGCGGCCTCCCTGGACTTCTTTCCCCCATGAGACCTTTGTAAGCCCTTACGAAGGATCACTGTGCCCCTTCTCCACTGCCAGGGCAGAAGGTCTGCTGCAGTGGGGACTGGAAGGAAGGCTGTAACCACGGTGAGTGATAAAGGCCACTGAGATGGATCATTATATTTTTAGACCTCAGAAAAATTAGGACAAGAGACATCTGTGACAGGCTCCCTGGCCTTCCTTTGGATGGTAAGGGCCCAGAGACATCCTAGAAAAATGGAGGCTGCCCGCGGAGACAAGGGGATAATCCGATCCATGCGACCCGTCAGGAGCTTCCCTCACCTCCACCGTCACTAGACACCAGTAACTTCCTCCTGCACCCGCTCCCTCTGACGCCGAGCTCCTGGGGAAAGCAGGATGCTGCTTTTAAAAAGTATTCGTTGACCTTGAACTTTTAGATGTGTTTCTCAATTTTCCCCTTTTATCACTGTCTGGCTAACGTTATGCTGGGTCATTTAAGTTCCGGTGTTTAATATAAAATATTGAATGAAAACATACTTTATGGGCTTCCCCGGTGGCGCAGTGGTTGAGAGTCCGCCTGCCGATGCAGGGGACGCGGGTTCGTGCCCCCGTCCGGGAGGATCCTACATGCCGTGGAGCGGCTGGGCCCGTGAGCCATGGCCGCTGGGCCTGCGCGTCCGGAGCCTGTGCTCCGTAACGGGAGAGGCCACGACAGTGAGAGGCCCGTGTACCGCAAAAAAAACCAAAAAAAGCAAAATGTACTTTACGAACAGGCTCTGCAACTGGAAACGGGAGGAGGGAACACTTTGCCAATCATGCCTATTATTCCTCTGGACACCTGGCAAACATTCCTAGCATTCCTGTTCCTCCTCCAGGCCAACATGCCCTGAGACGAGGGGGATAAATACCGTAAAATGAAGGGGTTGAGAGTGTGGGCTCTGAATCAGAGTTGGGTTTGAATCTCTGCCATACGCAAGCTGTGAGACCCTGTGTGAGCTACTGCGTAGGGTCTCAGTTTCTTTATCTGTAAACTGGGAACATTCTCAATAAGAGAATGCATGTACAATGGCACTGGTCTGTACATAAAGTTCCGATAAATGGCCCCATTATTATCATTTGCATGTTAGCCCTTGAGCATCTCCCATTTGGGAAGGCCCTGGGTGCATGTTAACAGAGCTGGGGTGGGTTCACATGGGGCGTCGGGCCCTGTCAGACAGAAGCCCCCTCTTCCTGACAGACCTCCCTGATATCCGCACTCCATCCCTCATCTGTCTCATCTTTCTTCGCAGAGTTGTCCCCCTCTTTCTACCCCTCATTTCTTTCTCCTGGAGTCCAGCTGCCTCCTCAGTGGCCCTCAGAATCCCTGCCGTGTCAGGCAATCCTTCTCGCCCAGTGTCAACGTCAATGCTCCCAGGATGCCGAGAAGGGGAGAAGCCATCTGTTTCAGCCAACCCACCTTCTACACTAATCTTAGCCCCTACTCCTGGACCATCTCTCAATCCTCCCCGCTCCATAAAAATATCTTGTTAACTCCTAAACTCACATTTGCTAATTTGGTCTGCCTTAGCTGCTTGTATCTGAGATCTGTCTGAGACTTCCACTCATAGCTAGCTGATTTTCACAGTGTGCTTAAAGGCATTGACTTTCCTGAATCTGCATCCTCAGGAGTTTGTCCTCATCCCCTCACGAGTGTCTGAAACAAAACTTTATTCAGGAGGTCCTGACTGTGTATGGCTGTCTGCTGGCTGGTCTGGTGGATTTCCAGCCCTCTGAGAGATGACCTTCCCTATGCTGCCTGGCTCGCTCTTTCCTTCTCAAGGCTGCTTGAAAAATGGAGAAAAGCCCAGAGCCCTCCACTGAAGCAGCTACTTTCTCAGTGTAAGAAATCAGACCATGTGGTCATCAACATTATATCATTTACATTTATTTATTAAGTTTTGTGCAGATTTCAATCACTTGAAATACAATAAAATAGTCACTAGAAGCAAAGACCTGAATAAAAAGGGCCAAGACCTTCATATTTTCTTGGGGATTTGTTTCCCTTACTGTAGTTCTTATACATTCACCTGTGAGAAGTTCCTATGAGCCACTCTGCCTGCTGCAAGCCTTTGAAGAAAAGTGCCCCTAGCTGGGAACCACCGTTCTATTTACACGCACACACACACACCCCTACACCTGTTCCTGACACATCTGTTAGTCCAAAATCAGTGATGCAAACACCCTGCAGGGAGGACAAGTCTCTGGAAGACATTGCCTTTTTCCTTTTCCCTTTGGTACCCAAAGAGCTAAGCAAGTGGCTCCTCGTAGGGACAAGACATGGGGAATTCCTGCCTGGCTCACAGGGAATAAATCCTCTCCAAAGCCACGAGGTTTCAGTTTGTGGGTGCTGGAAAGCACGCCTCAGGGAGGGAGAGGCCTGCTGTGGAGATGTGACCTGAGTGAGGTGTGAGGATTGGATATGCAGGTGGGACCGTGTACCACCTTCTCCTTACCTGGGGGAGGGGGTCTCCCTTGCTTGGGGAAAGTCACTGACAGAGGACGGTCAGGCTGTTTTGGAAACAAAGCGCCTCTAATGGATGGACTCTCCTGCATGCAGCTCTTCTGACTGCATTCAGCACCAATGTCCTGTCCCACAGCCCCGGGTATCATCACAGTGGGCCCCACGCCATCTTCACAGCCGCTCTCTACAGGCTAAAAAGGTTCAGGACAATCTCAGGAGTGTTAGGTGCAAAACTCATCAGTCACCTTATAGCAACTATTTCTCGAGCCCAGCCGTTAGGTCTTTGTAAAGTGTCGTCCACAGACCAGCAGGGTGGGCATCACCTGGGAGCTTGTTAGGAATGCAACCTCAGGCCCCACCCCAGAACTTCCGAATAGGAGTCTGTTCTTCAACAAATTCCTCAGGGAATGTCTATCGATATGAAAGGTTGAGAAGTCCTCAAGGAAGTAACACAGGAAGGGAGACGATCCACTCCTCCAGAAGCTCACACATGGTTAGGAAGATATGACTTGTAGATATGAAACCGTGGAGCAGAGTGCATGTCTATATCATCAAGCACATTTTGGAAGAAAACTTGGATACAGAACACCTAGACCAAGTCCTGCCTCAGCCACTACTTTCACTGAGCCTCAGCTTCCTCATCTGTACAATGGGAATAATACTTGTCCTGTCTACCTTATAGGTAGATGGTCCTAGGTGGAAAGCATGAGACCCATAAAAAATACTATTGAATGTTATGTATGTTAAGTGCCACAGAGGTGCCAGGATGAGACAGTCTGGGAAGATCCACTGGGAGGCTGAAGGTGGCCTTTTAAAGATATTGGACCATACACTTTACTAAAGCAAGATGGAAAAAATGTACATTTTGACCTTTGCACCTCATATAGACTCTAGCCTGAGCTACAGAGAGCTCCCTCCGACCAGCTTTCATCCTGACAATCTGCTCGTGGTCAACTCCACGGGTCTCAAAACACACACTCAGTGCCACTGGGTGTGTTACAAAAGGCACAAAGCAAATAGATGTGGTCTCTGTGGGGAGGCTGACAAGAGCCCTATTGCTGCAAACCTTTGTAGTATATGGAAACGGATTTGTTTGTCATTTTGCATGAAGATGTCTGGACACCGCAAGAGGATGCAGGGGGTGAGGGGGGAGGTAAAGGAAATTAGCATGAGTTCTCAGGTAATCATTTTCCTAGATGATGCCTATTAAGCCTTGGCGATGTACTAGATGTTCATGCTTTTTCCCCCCATTTAATCCTCACTACGACCCTATCAGACAGATAGGGACAAAAAGTCCCCACTTCACAGATAAGGAAACTGAGGACTTAGGATCTGAATCCAGGTTGGTCTGCTTTCCAAAGCCCATGACCTTAACTGCAAGCTAACCTGCTAAAGTAGTGTGAGAATCTCTGGGCTTCCTAGTGCAGATGAAACAACGTGACTGCTTTTGTTGTGAAACCTGGCTTGCTCTGACTCTCTGACGTTTACCGTGCTTGTCCTGAGCTTCTCCAGAGAAATGCCGTCTTCTGGCAGGAAAAGATAAAAACTGCTGATACAAATGAGTCACTACACTGGCTATAATTAACAGTGATGTAAGAAGGGCCTCAGGACCTGACTTTTAGGCAGCCCGAACTTTGAGCTGCACTTCAACGCAGAAAAGTCTCTGTTGTGAGCTGCTATCTGCTCAAGATACATTTTAAATGAAGAAATGAAGCCTGGAATGCACACAAGCTCCCAGATAACGGAGTTGAGAGGGGCGGCACCAAATTAATCTCCTTATTTACAACTGAAAAACCATCCACCAGAACCAGAAAGAGAGTTTATAGTTTATAGATAACGTAGATCTTTGTCTTTCACACTCGGCTGCCCTGGAAAGTCTAAGCAGTTTCCAACCTGCTGAGCTAATTTATAGCAACTACAATTGTAAATTGGGTTGTACTAGGTGTTCAGTTTATACTCTCCTGATTGCAGTGTATAGCAGTGAACTTTTCAAAAAAGACCAGTTATTATTTGCATCTCTCTACTCTCTTTTGGTGACCTGGAGTAAGCAGTGATGCAATGAGAGCCCGATGAAAATGACTCTGAAAATACAATTCCCCCCCGGGGCCATCCACATGGCATGATGAGAGGTGAAGGCGGTGCTCTCTGGCTGCTTCTATGACCAGTAATTGCCTCCTGAGGTTCAACTGAGAGAAATAACGAGTGGTCAGGGCCTGGATAGACTTAAGTGGTCATTGATGTCAGCGTCAGCATCTTACCTGTTTAAAAGAGGCTCAACCGTCCTCAAGATTTGTACACAATACAGCTGATAGAATCTTACCACTTTCCTTTTGAATAGACTTTAATTGAGAGCGAAGTGAAAAATGCAGGTTACATTTTTAGTGTTACTTAGTGTTATATGTTGGAAGATCAACACCAAAACAGTGATGCATCTAACATTTATACATTTCCTAACTTTAGTTGTCACAGAGCAAATCATTATCAGATATATATATTTACACAATAATTTCAAGCAACAGTAAATAATAAACTCCCTCCCTTAAAAAGCGAAAACCAAACACACACATACACCCAACCACCTTTAAACAATGGATTTCCTCACACTAGTAAGTCTCATTTTTTTTCACATATACTTGTAGACCCAAAGTTACTTAAGTTACTAAAGAATAGTCTTATCAGTGGAGATCCCGGACCAGCCCTTATTTTCTTTTAGAGTCATTTTAATTTTTTACAACTTGAAGCCACATAACCAGTGTGGTCTGTATACTCTCTTAAGGACACCCCAAATGATAAAAATGAATTCCACTTCCTTTGTGTGAGGAGATATGTACATCTCTGAAGATGCATATGATTACAACTCAAAAAAGTCAAAAAGAAACACAAAAACAAAATCTCAGATCCTCAAGAACGGTTTCTTAAGAGCATTGTGCTAATGTTACATTGAATTAACTGAATGATAAAAGATTCTTTTAGATATCTCTGCAGAGGTACTGGTTAGCTCTGATTCTTTTTTCAGCTGCTTGAAATGCTTGAGTTTTAAAAGTTGCCTGGTGGCGCTACACCCTGCTTTCCAGGTTAGCAGCCTGCCTAAGCTCCGGAATGTCGGACGGGACTCACCGCCAGTGCCTTGCCCTCTGATTTATTTCTTGCTGTTGCTGTTAGTAAATGGAAGCCATGACAAAGTTTACATTAGCAGACGCATCCACATGCCCTGGCCTATAAATATTCTATGATGGAAAAAGTTACAATGACTCCATTCCTCGTGAAAATGAGCGTAAAGGGAGAAGGGGCAGGGGGGAACATTACCAACAATGGCTCTTCTTAACAGTGGAAAATCCAGACCAAATGGCAATGGGCTTTTAACTAACTGGACGCTGACAGCCACTTCTCCAGAGCCTTATGAGTCAACTAAAAGTCGGCTAAGTAGAGACCAACTCCTCTGGGCAAACCTGGTAGGATCCAGTAGTACAGGCATCTTTCTCAGAAGCTGGATGAAGACGATCAACCTCCGTTTCCTTCTTAGAGAGGCGAGTGAGGAGGGATTTTAAAGTCAGCTTTGAAAGTAGTTCACACACTGTCCTGCCTGAGACACAGAACGGTGCCTGGCGTGGACGCCTCAAAGCGCCAGCTGGAGTTTGCTCATGTTTCTCTGGTGCATGTTGTGATGGCGGACTAATTCGTCTGACCGGGCAAACTTTTTCTGACAACTGGGCCACCGACAGCTGAAGGGCTTTTCACCTGTTGACACAATGGCCAGTCAGAGACACTTGCGGTGGAGAGATGGGGCGCAAGTTCAATCATCAAAGGCCCAAATTAAATCATCACAAGACACCCACTCCAGATTCTCTCTAACTCTTTTCCTAAGCTAACAAATCGG